GATCGTAAGAACAGCCGTGACCCTTTCATCCGTGGCCATTTTGGCATAAGCCGATCGGCCGTGTGCAGAAAAGAACTCTGTTCTACGGCGTGGGAGGCAGCATTTAAGGATAGATCATTCCTGCAATGTCGTTCCCTACACCGGCCGGTCGGAGCTCGTTCCCGCAAGCGGCTGGTCCGAGCTCGTCGGGAGGTCCCCGGGATATCCCGTCCTTCGGGCTCCCTCGGCGACTCCCAGCTCAGGAGAACCCTGGGAACTGGGGTCACTATGTCCCTGGTCAAGCGGAGGCTCCTCCGAATCCTGCGGCTCCGGCAGCAGTATCGGGAGACTGGGATCTGGCACCTGGGGCCGTGACGATCGTCGTGGCAGGCGAGATCGCGCTGCTCCTGCTGCCCACAACCCTTTCGTGGTGCAGAGGCCGGACTTCGTTCAGCAGATGGTCGTTGAGGAAGAAGACGAGACGAGGAATTCCCTCCTGATCATCGACAATCGCGATGACCGGGTCGTCTCTCCCTTCCAGAACTGGTTGGCACAGGAGATCATTTCCAATGCCGCCAGTTCGATCAACGTGCTGACGGAGCGAGATCAAGTGCTCACACGCAGTTCGGGTTACCACTGTTCGCTGTTCGCGAACTATACGCTCGACGGCATCAAGGCGGTCTTGCTGTTCTCGATGACCTCGCAGACGGGAGGCCCATGTGCTCAGTGGGACTCCCACGCAAGCCAAGCTCTGTCGCACCCGGCTTTTCAGCCGTTCACGTGGCCGGTCATGTTCGACACCTCGGCCACCTATGTGGATGTTAAGGTCTTCAATGGGAATGAGGTCCTGTTCCACTGGGTGTTCCGGGGCTATCGCTCGGACGCTGATCTGTCAGTGCAACAGCAGTTCTGCGACGAGGTTTTGATCAGGTCGGCTAACGACGGTTGGTTCCGGCCGTCCATCGTCATCTCCGTGTTCGTCGGCTGGAAAGTCTCGGTGACCTCGTTCGAGGTCGGGGCCCGAGTCTACTCCATCGGCCCCCAAGGAGTGGTGATGGCAAGTGATCACGCGATGAGCACATGCGAGCTGCGGGTCTCCGATCGTGCCTCGCCCGAAGGTTACGGCAATGACGCAGATCGCGTGGAGTTCCGGTTCAGGGATGCCAACAACCGGATCGATCTGAAGTGTGGGCGAACTTCGGTTCCGGGGACGTGGCTCACAGTCAGTCATATCTCTGGCCCCTCGTTGATCAGCACGATCCAGCAGTGCCGTAATCAGCGCGCTCGCGTTGAAGGGCCGGACCACGTGCAGCAGTTCGCCCAGCTCTTCGCGGTGATCGCCCCGTGGTACAACGATGCTCTCGCGAATGAGGGCTTCGCGGACCAGTTCCCGGTCGATGAGGGTAATTTTCCATATCCGTGCTCGCTCGAAGCTCCGGGTGAACCCCCTGATGTTCGTTCGGCAAGAAGCTCTGGCTCACCGCTCGCACGACGAAGGGACTGAGCTCACCGCTCGGCGTGGTCCGCCAGCTCTCATGGAAGAGGCGGCCCGACATGCCGTTCGGCAGCTGGGATCTTCGACTACCTCGGCTCTGACGAATATGCGACGTCTGCTCAGCAGACCTATGATCAGCGAGTCTCGGTGATCACCCCGGTGCTTGAGGGCGAGGAGCCGCCGGCCGATCGGATCGGAGAGTACATCGAGGAGGCAAGGGATCGCTTGAGGGCAGACATGCGCTTCTCGCGCACGTCGGCGGCGATCACCCCGCAGGTCTTCACGGATGTCCTTCGCGATCGTGAAGATGCGGATCTCCAGAGGTACTCTACCGTTCGGGTGGAGGAGACGGGGCCAGAGCTCCCGGCGAGCAGTTCGACTCCATCGACGGCTCCGCAGTCTTTCTCTCCTGCCTACTTGCCCTCTCGACCGGGCCGTACCAGATGGCCAGCTCGGGGCGGGAGGGCGAGGAGTGAAAGCGCTCGACGCCTCCTCTCCGGATATTTTGCGCTTGCTCGCGAAAGAGCTTGGCGCCGGCTCCGGCCGTAACTTAAAGCCGGCCGATCAGCCGTGCTTCTTCCGCGGAACAAACATGCCGAGCGATCAGCGATCCCTCGGTGCGCTAGATCCGTGCGCTGTTCCGCATAGTCTCAGTGAGTGTTGATCAGCATGTCCTGGCTCAGGCACGGCGCTCGGGTGCCATTAGCAGGCCTGTGCGATCGCACTCGCAGCTGTTCAGCCCGAGATGGACAGGTCAGTTAGGGAGATCCTTTCTTTGCCTTTGTTCGGGGATGACTTCTGCCAATGGTTGGTCGATCTTCGGATGGCTCAGTTCGAGAAGCTCTGTGCTGTTTCGGACGGGACGATCGCTGAGTGTGTCCAAGCGTTCGTGAGTTTGGTGCCTGCTCTCGAGGCTCTCCATTCGCCGTCGACGAGGAAGACGGAGGAAGAGCTCGGC